AAAAAAAAAAAAAAATAATTAAAAAAAAAAAAAAAGAAAAAAAAAAAACATCACCCCCTAAAAAAATAAAAAATAAATGCAAAAAAGAAAATGTTGCTTTTCTTTTTTTAATTATTGCCTTTTTTAAGACTTTATAGTTGGTGTTTAGGTATTAATCTTCCAGTCTTCCAAAAATGCATAACTATCAAGTAATATTTTAAAATTTATTGTCTACTTTAAATATTTTTTAACTCAAAAACATGGCAACCGTCTGGACAAATGACTGCCCTGGCGCCCCGAGCACAGGGCTTAGCAAGTTTTCTGGGGGAAAACCCTGATTGGTGTGCAGCTGTCCAAATCAAATACCCCAGGTCAGATCAGCATAATGGGTAATGCAGTTCACTACCATCTCTCAAGGATTGATTTAGTTGCTTTCACCTGTATTCTTGAACTCAAACAGACGAGGGTCTGCTTTGATGGGGATGAGGCCCAGCCTGTGGGCCAGAACTTCATCCTGGACTATAGATGTGTTGTTATAGATGAACACTTTCTCTATAGCCATTGTGGGCACCTGGAAGCAAAAATAAACGTTTCAGACATGGTTCATTAAAAAAAATAAAATAAATTAAATCAATATAAAAATACACTCGATATATTTGAATGTAATGGTTTGGTTGACATTTGGGCTGCTAGTTGATTGACTTCCATATTCCCAGCCTGTTGGCTGCTCTTTAGGCTAGTTTCTGCTTCTAATCATTAGAGAAACATGGGTTTATTTCCTGAGATATTTAACATTGAATTTTCATTTTTTAAGCCATAAAAGGCACCTAAACTTTGGGAAAGACCTGTGTTCTTCATATTCTCAACAGACTTAGTGTGAATCACAATAAAGTAGTTTATCATCAAATGCCACCAAATATTCAAACTTCTCATTCAGAGATAATGCTTTATTTGTTGCCTTTTTTAAGCAAAGTGATTTATTCTTGTAAAGTGTCAATAGACTGATTGAAAAGAAGGAATGTGACCTCTGCCAGTAAGATTCTCCTGAAGCCGTTAGCAATGGCAGCATCGATCCCCACCATGTCAAATTCCATGCTGTTCTCATCCAGATGCACTACATCAATCCGGAAATTCTGCAGACGAACAGGGGGAGAAGCAATAGCCGACACTAAGAACTGTTCGGAACACCAGCAACTCTGAGGATAAAGGTTCTGAAAGCAAAAGGTTTAAAACATGGGATTTATTTTACAGACCATAAAACTCACCTTCTGAAATCGCTTCATGTCCCATGTGTCATCAAAGCCTGGGTAGTTTCCAGGAAAATCTGTTGTGTGAACCTGACACAAATTGAGATTCATTATAATATTTTTAATAATAATCATAGAAATTGTGTTTTATTCAATACAAAAATTACAAATGAGAAGTGAGATACAACAGTGAAAGACATACTATTCTCAGTAATGAGGGATGTACAAGGTTTCCCCCAGAAAACTTGCTAAGCCTGATGGTTGTGTGCTGTAACAGTCATTCATCCAACAGCCTGCTGTGTTTTTCAGTTAAAAAATGTTTAAAGTTTACAAGAAATTTGAAAATATCACTGGATAATTATGAGTTATTGAAAGATTAATACCTGAACACCAACAATAAAGTCTGAAAAAATGCAAACATTTTAAATACATAAATACATAAGCAACGCTTAGCCTGGTGGGGCACAAGTAAAGTCTGGTGTCCAGCCAGGCCTATTATACACTGAGGGAAATCCTGCATGTGGTGAAATTTAATGGCAACACATATATTTCCCAAAATATTTATGGCGTCTAGTGATGTTTAGTCAAGCTTGACATATTTTAGAATGTCCAGCATCCCATCTATTAAAACCACCACTAGTTATACCTAACAGAATAAATGTTAGATTTTACTTAACTCGTGTTTATGGGAGGGCACAGGTTAACACCGATGCTTTGTGTTTCTAATGGTTGTCTCTAACTGACCGGAGTACCAGCTGCAGCAGCACACCGGAGCCGCTCAAACTCATACATTACATAACCACACGCCATACATCTACATACAGTACACAGAGAAACAAGAACGTTGTTGCCATTGTTACAGAAACAACTTACATTCTTTACACCAAATTCTCCCAAGATTACCCGGCTGCGAATTTCCTCCACGTTACTCATGGGCGCAGCCATTTTGCTCTGCGGTCTTCTTCGTCTACAAAGAAGTCGTAGAGACAAAACATTGCTGCCCCCATGTGTCCAACTAGCTGTGCTGTACGTCACCGACCAATGCAGAAAACACAGAAGTCTAAACAAAGGCTTCTTTTTTTCATTATTGAACCTTCAGGACAATAATCCCATTTATCTTCTTAATTTCTCCCATATTTTTGGTGGAGATATGTCCTTTATAATGTATGTCTCATTTTGAGTGCCATCTATGTTCTGTTTGAATCGTTAATAAATCTTATAAAAAATAAAGAATCTATCAATATAGCGATGGGTTAGGGTTTCAAGTATGCCTTGAGGTTTGTGACATCTGATCCGGAGGTTCGTTGCAGGTCTCTTTGGATCATATTAAAAGGTCACCTTTAAGAGCAGAAGGAAACCGCAGTTCCCCCATAACCCTCAATAACCTTCAACCCCGCCCACTGCTTCATTTTGTGTGTTGGTTTTCAAAATAAAAGCGCGATGAGCCGTGCTGCTTCATGGGTTGTACATCAAAATGTGTGGGGCTGGGGGGTGGTTTGCATCAGGCACTATTGACATTCAGATCATCTGGTTGTAAGAGCAGAAAGAGTTCGGGGGTTGCTGGGGGTAATTATATTTACACATATACGTATAGAATTTAGAAAGACTTAAAACTGTTCAAAGAGTAGAATTCTGCAAGTGACTAAATAGAAGGAATCAAAGCCGACTTGACAGCCAAGAAAAAGAGAATGTTTGAAGACTGCTTCATTAGTCACAGTTTAAGACTGATGACTTGCAGGTCAGGGCAACACAGAGACAGATAGGACAAACATCCTACACTCACACCTAGGGAGACTTTGGAGAGACCAATTAACCAGACAGTCATGTTTTTGGACTGTGGGAGGAAGTCAGAGTACCCAGAGAGAACTCACCATACACAGAACATGCAAACTCCATGCAGAAAGACCCCAGGCCAGGAATTGAACCCAGGACCTTCTTGCTGAAAGGCAACAGTGCTACCAACTGCACCACTGTACAAAGTACAGTGGAATAAAATCAGACAGAGGCCAAGAATAACGTTTTTGATTTTTATTTTAAAAGTTCAGATATATTCCTAAAAAGCATAATATACATAAAGCATAATATACATACTGATTAGAACCCAAACACACATAAAGATGCATCATCTTGAGGCATTACTCACTAAACAGAGCATAGAAACTGCAACACAATAACAAACACATATCAGCTGGAGACTAGTTAGTAATTAAATATGTTATGCTAGCAAATTGCCACTTATGCCTTAGGGAAAGACTGCTGCTAAGCCAACAAAAGACATACATACAGAAATTTGGCAACAATTTTGTCTTTACTCAACCTTGTATGGATGGTCCAGCTATATCTGTAAATGTCCCACAGAACTTTGGGTGACAGCACAACCTGCCTGACTCCAGCAAAATATCTCCATGGTTCAATCCAAGGGTAAGAAAGAACTGATAGATGAGACATTTTCTCATCTCCTTATCTGCTAATTGAAATCAAAATGCTATGTTAAATTTTAACAGTAAAAGGTATGTTTAAACATAAGACCTGATACTGGGGGAACAGTATCTGATGGGAAAACGCGAAGCGACATAACAGCTGCTCTTTTAAAATTTATTTTTATTTTACACATGCGAACTTAGTTTCAAAGAACCTAGCGACGTGGCGAGGGCATTACACCTTTTCGATGTGTACCGTTACTGTGTAAACAAAGATTGTAATTAGAATATTTTCATGTAAATGAAAATAATAGAAATAAGGGGGTTGGGGCAATTTTCGTTGGATCATTGTCTTCATCTCAACCAAAAAGTATGGCATTCCAATATTACAGTTTATCTACTCAGGTCAATACCATTTTCAAATCGCAAGCAGAACATGCGGGCTCTTTTGCATAATTCATGTGGGCAATTATGAATCTGTCATAAACCCTCTGCTTGCAAAGCCCGCTCACTTAGAGGAATGACATGATTGGTTGGTTTGACAAACCAATCACTGAGCCGAGAAAGCCTACTTGTCTGCCTAGCAACAGAGCGGAACGAAGTCTGACAGGATGAAAACTGGTTGATTTCAAATAAATCTGGAAATTTCAACACTTAGTGAGAGACTGGCTTATTTCTTTAGAACAAATGTCTTCAATGTGGGGGGTCGCGAAGGTTCTGGAGAGGGTCGTCAGATCTCTTGTTAATTAGACATGTTCTATTTTAATTCAAAATATGTAATTTAAGACACATTAACATGATTTGAACATGAAATAATTTAGTCATGAGGCATAAAATAATGTATTCCAGTCAGAAATGCAAAATAATGTTAATTATGTAAAAAAAATCTATATTTTATGCAAAATAACAATTTGGTCATGGCAGTGTCATTATTAGGCCATTACTTTTGTATTCGAATATTTGGTTTAAAATAAAAATGTGGAATCAAGAAGAAGAGCATTATGTGTATTGAATGCACAACAATAATAGTAATTTATCAGCCTCATTGTTAGAAATTATAAAATGAACTGAAAAAAGTATTCGAAATGTATCAGTGAGCTTGAAAATGCTGAAATAAAGAAGAGAACACCCCCCACCACAAAACTGCACTAAGATGATAATGAAACACACATTTCTGATACATGAAATTCCTTCTGTATAAACATAGAAGAAGAAAAAATAAGCCGAAAACAATAACATTTAATAAACAAAGGGTGGCGAAACATATTGTGTTATTTTCTAAGGAGGTTTTAAGTTTCTGGATGAAGTTTAACTCCGCATAAAGCCTCCTCTCCTCTTTTCTTTTCAGCATCACTCTGTGTGAATGTAGGTTACAGGGTTTAGCTGGCAGCCGGAAGCTGGGATCAGCTGATGGAGGAAGAGCTGAAAAAAAAGGTGAGCCATCTTCCCCCGGCAGACGGATACGGACTCGGAGCTTTCGCGAAAGACCTACTAGAAAAATAAGAAGGATGTCGGTGTCATTCGAAGGCGACAGACGGGTTTTAAAAGGCCAGGACAACCAGAGGAAACCGTGCAGGAATTAGGAAGGAGCAGTTCTGACAGAGGAATATAGCAGCTGTTAACGTTCGACACAAAAGCCTCTAACAGCATTAACAAAGGACGGAAAACCAGAAGGGATTAATATCGAAATATGGAGCAGATGTAAGCTGTTTAAATACAGGAGAACGGCTACACGAAGACGCTTCCGGTCGCTGCAGTTCACAGAGTGCAGCAGAAGCCTAGCCTGTAAACAAACAGCTAGCTTTAGTTAGCCGACTGCTGGTTAGCACTCAGCTGCTAATGTACACAGCTAATATACGGTAGCAGGACTGAAGTACAGAAAACCGAGATAAACGGAAACAAACTGCTGCCAACTAAATTTAGTCTCTTTGTTGCTGTCTCGAGCGGGTGGTGTTAGTTTATGGTATCCATGTATGCATTTATTATAGTGACATTAGCGTTTAAGCTAACGCGTACAGTTATTTTCTATGTAATAAGAACTGAGCGTTAAACGCGACACAGCATTGGGCTGATTTAGCCTAAACACATCGTAATTAAGTAATTAGTCATGACACTTGTGATTGACATGAACCGGGATGTTTTCTGTTAGCACGGTGCAGCTGATAGGATGAAAGGAGATGGGGATGAAGGAAAACAACTTTCTGATTCCCTGAGAATGAAATTATAGATTTGTCCCTGCTGAAGGTTGAAAAGCTTCCTTAAGAGTAAGACATCACTACTGCAGAGTGTGAACTGACATCGCTGGTGTCATGAAATTGTTGGCCTTTTAAGGCAGCAATTTTTAGTAGTCAGCCAGACCTGGAGTGCAGTTAAATGCAGCCTTGGTCTTTAGGTAGAAGGTAGAACTTTAATTGACATATAGACACATTGTCAGTTTAGGTTTTTTTTTTTTTTTTTTTTTTTTTTTTTTTTTTTTAAAAAATTTTTTTTTTATTGTTTTAGCACAAATTGGTTTTTTTTTTTTTTAT